ATGCATTAAATCGATACATATATAATAGATTTCATCTTCTGCCACGTTATAAAAATAAACTCATCGTAATCAAACGTTACAAATGTATCGTGTAATCAATTTAAATTTTTTTTTTTTTTGTTTCTTTGTTCTTATTGGAAAGTAGAATTTTATCGGTAACGTTTTAAAAAGGAAATCCATGAATGGTATATTTATTTATTTATTCTACATTTTGTTGTTATGAAATCCATTATTAAAAAAAATTATAAACCAAAACGAATGATTAATTTATTATTATTATTATTATTATTATTATTATTATTATTATTATTATTATTATTATTATTATTATTATTATTATTAAATGATTGTTATTTATTGTTTGTAATGTCGTCACCGCCGCTTAAAACCGGATTAATAAAAGTTTTTCATCGAGTTATAATCGATGTAGGAAAAAAATTTTCAAATTTTTTTTTGTTTTTCCAAGAAACGAAAAAATTTTTTTCCTGGAATTGTAAACTCCAGGAGGATTTATTTTAATTTTGAAAATTTTCTTTATCGAAATTAAAAATGATTACATACATTACCACTTAAGTCAAAAATTTTTTTTTTGCGGAGGAGTGAAGAGAGAGAAGGAGTACAAACCAAAATTTATGGATTTCACTTGAGAAAATTTTACTTACGTACGAAAAATAATAATAATAATAATGAAAAAAGGGAAAAATTAATAAATAATATTATTATTATTAAGTAATCGATGGTTATTATTTAGACGTGGCATAAAAGAAATTAAGTTAAAAAATTTTTCATCGGGGAAAAATTCAATATATGCTAGTTCGTATCTGTCAAAAGATGTATACTACGCACGGACGCACACACACACACGCACACGCAATATAATAACCGCCTGGAGAAAAAAAAAGTAACATGGCGAAAACACATGATTAACATGATTGCAGAAGATAATAATAATAATCGGTCAAATTGGCCATCAGATAATTAAATAGCCTTTTAACTTGTCAAGGTTGATCTCGGTGTTAAATTATTTTTAAATTTTCCCTTTTGGATGCTGTGAAAAATGATTTCCGAGTGCCTAAAAAAAAAAAAAAAAAATTTTTTTTCTCACTCTGTTACACGCACACTCTCACGCACGCACTTTTTCTCTTTCTTTCTTTTTTCTTATTCTTTCCTTTTACGGGGAAAAAAGTGAGAGCTTATTAATAAAAATTTTCGTAAGATTATGCGAAGCGTAAAAAAAAAAAAAAGGAGATGAAAGTTTGGTTCAAACAGGAAGTTACCTACTTTTTTTTAACTTGTGGTAAAAAAAACGAATAAAAATGTGCATACATACGCATTTATTTATTAAATGTATATATATATTTTTATTCAAAATAGAAAGTAAATAATGATAATAATAATTGAAAAAAAAAGAAAAGATTATAGCCAAGTACGACAACGCCCACCCCCGCAGTACCTGTGCAGTACAAATATACGTTTGTTTGGCACTGTTAAAAGATGTCTTACGTACTTATTTTATTGTGACCACGAACCACGCCCTTTTAACATATTTGAACCCTCTTCCCTCCAATTTTTTTGTTGTTTTTCCGGGGATGTTAAGAGAGAAGAAAAAATTAAAGACGAATGACGATGGAAAAAGCATACAAAAGGGAGGAGACAGTTGTAAGAATTTCTTTCTCTCTTTCTCTCTCTTCTTCCTTTTCATTTTCCCTCGAGAGTAAAAATTTCTTTTCGGTTTAAAAAAAAAAAGAAATTCAAGGTTTTTCTCAAAAAAAAAGAAAAAAACTGTTTTACACCTAGAGACAATAAAACGCTTCAGGTAAGGCCGTGTGAAAGAGAATTAGTTAATGTGGCAGGAGTTTGTGTGTGTGAAGTAATTAGTAAATGATGCATAGTCATCGTCAAAAAAAAAAATTCAAAAAAGTATAATGATTATTATTACGATTTGCTAAACATCGTAAATGAAAACATTTAACAATAAATAAATAACCTGTGAGAATTTGACTGGAAAAAAAAAAAAGAAAAACATTGCAATCTGGTCTGGTGTACGTCTACGCGTACTTTTTTTTTTTTTTTTCTTTCCAAATCTTTTTTTGGTATTTCAATTTATTATTATTATTATCATCATCATCATCATCATCATAAAAACGTTTTACTAATATATATTAGTAAAATAAATTTTTTTAAAAAAATTATTTGTCAACAAATCACAACAACAACGACGACGACGACAAGAAAAGGGGAAAGGTGGAAAAAAAAAATTGTTATTCAAATTATGAAATTCCTACCAACCGTTTGTTAATTTGCGACAAACAAACAAACAAACAACAAAAACGTTTTTAAATTTCGTTAAGTATAATCGATATCTAATCGATACGTTTTAAATTCCTGAGAATTTTTTTTTTTTTAAATTGGGAACTTTAATTTTTCAAATTTTTTAAGTCTAGTCCGAGTACTAGTTCGGTAAAATAAAAAAATGGTTTTATTAATTTAAAAAAAAGAAAAAACGACAACAACAACAAAGAAACAAACAAACGTTCGGTTTCAAATGGAAAAAAAAAAAACTACACCGGAAGCACACCAATGGGAAATTTTCTCAAAAGTGGTTAAACGTGATGATATCGTAAAATTGATTTCGGTTATCACAACAGCAAGTTCGCTCTTTTCTTACTTATCACAACAACAACAAACAACAGCATTCAAACTTTCAACAAACGTCAAATTCCCTTCTTCTTTCGTTGTTCGATTAAAATTTTATTTACTTTTGTGAGAAAGCCGGTCTCACGGATTTCATCATATGGCTACAATTAGAATTTGTTTTTTTTTTTTTTTTTACCACAAGACAAGGCAATTTATGATTAATTGAATTATTACGAATAACACAACAAGTTTTTATTTTATCATCATTATTATCATTACCATAACTTAAAAAAAAAAAAATAATAATAATAATTAATTTGTTATAATGAACCTGATAATCGATAAAATGAAGAAGGAAAAAAAAAAAAGAGAGAAGGTAAAATCGAGATGTATACGGTACGCATAAGGTACGAATCTCTCACGCTGGGCAGTTTATAACATGAAAATATAAATTAATAATAATAATGATAATAAGAAGAGGAAGGAAGATGGAGAGGAGAGGATCAATATTTATAATTGGAAGAAGAATGACTGTAACCAGCATCACCTTATGAAATCAGATAAATTAAGAATGACGAATCAAAATCTGCAGATGCCAATGACAAAGAAATATTAACCATAACAATTTTAAGAAGATTAAAATTTTTTTTTTTTGTTACGTTGTGGACGAATATGACATTCTGAGTGAAAAAGATTTTCTCCTTCTTCTTTTTTCTTTTTTTTTAGGTCACGTGGTATAAAAAGAGGTAAAAGATTATCTTATTTATGTAATATATATAATTTTTTTTTTTTGGTTTATTAAATAAAAAAAAAAATTCTAGAATTTTTGATCGAGTGAATTTACAAAAAAAAAAAAAAAGTTTATTAAAAAAACAACAATTAAAGTGAATAAATTAATAATAATTACGGTAACAAATATTAAGAAAAGTTGACCTTTGCCACAAGGTAAAATATAATGAAGTTTTAAAAAAAACCTTAAACTCAATGTAATGGCGCAAATTTTCTTTTATTTTTTGAGGCTTTTTTGGTGATTACCTTCTACCTACCCTCTTCCCCACTCGTTACCATTCTTTTAATCCCCCCTCTAATCCTCCTATCTTCCTAATCATTCCGGTTTCTGTCCGGTTTTGAAAATTTTCTTTTTCCCGCCATTTTTTTTCAATTCGGTTATGTTTATTTTTTTTTTCTCTGCTTCCCAGTTTTATTTAGACAAAAAAAAAGGATTCTAATAGTCGAACTGATATAAAAAAAAAAAAAAAAAACGTCTGAACCTGTTCAGGTTTCGAGAGGTCGCCACCTACGCGAGATTAATGCGATTTTAAAAGGAGGTTACCGACGGTCATTTGTCATCATTTAAAATTTTTTTTTTTCTTTCTTTGTCTGCGTGTCCGTCTCCTTTTTTTTACCCTCTCTCCCTTCTCCCCTTCTATTTTTCTATTCCGTTCATCTTCTTCTTTTTGCCTCTATTATTTCAATAATGGCTTTTTTCTTTTTTTGTAAAAAGTTCACAACGAGTAGTGGTGGTGATGATGGTGGCAGAAGTAGTACAACTTTTCATCTTCTTCATCTTTTTCTTTTTCTTCTTCTTTGAATAAATTTTTTTTTTTTTTTTTTTTTTTTAACCGAACAGAAGAAGATATATTAACTGTCCGAAATTGTTTTTATTATCATTACTATTATTATTCTTTTTGTCGTAACGGATGTTTCTGCTTTCAATTTTAAAAAGACAATTTTTTTCTCTCACGGTTGGTACCACCTCGCGTAAATGATGTACACTTTATAAAAAAAATTACGTCGTTTTTAAAGTTTGCATTGGTAACAACTACAAAAACGAAATTTCCCATTTTCCCTATTGGAGAGTAAAAGAGGGAAGAAAGGGGAAAGGAGGAGAAGGGGGAAGGGGAGGAAACAAATAAATCGTTTGCGATTATTAATGTTGTTAAACTTATAATTAATTTAATTTTAGTTTTTTTTTTTTTTTACGTAATTATTAACTAATTATTGTTTCTTCTTCTTCTTTTTTTTTCTTCTACGATTCTTACGGTTTTTAAAATTTTTAGTTAATTTTAGAGTCCGCCCTTTCGTGTTATATGTCTAATTTTTTTTTTTTTTTTTTTTTGTTGGTGACTCCACCACCATCCGTTTATTACCACCGTATCCGTATTTAATTGGTTTTAATGGTTCTTTAGGCGAAACAAGTTTTACTTTCGGAATATTCTTTTTTTTTTTTTTTTAAAAATACAAAGATAAACAACCGATGCATTTTTTTTTTATTTGATTCTTCTTTTTATATAATACTATGTAACCGACGCCATTTTAACCAAAAAAAAACTTACATTTAAAGAATTGTATCGAAAATTTAAATGATAATTTTTTATCAAGTGTGTTAAAGGTTGTTTTATTGGCACAGGTACAAAAAAAAAAAAAAACTCGTGAGAAAATAATTAAATTGCCAAAAAGTAAAGGTTGACCACTAGATATTCGTAGTTTTTTTTTTTTTTTTTTTTTTAATGATAATCCCCGAATGAGGGGAGGGAGGTATAACATAATAAGAGTGCTGTTGTTGATGAGTGCAAGTCAAAACTCATTAAAAACTTTTATTAATTTTTAGTTTAAAAAAAAAAAAAAAAGTTTGAGAAAGATTCGAAATTTAAAATTAAATTTTTTATTTTTGTTTTGATTACAAGGTTAAATTTTGCCAGAGGACGAAATGTCCGTTTATTTTTTTTTTTTTTTGTAATTTTATTTCATCCTTATTATTCCCTCTCAATTTCCCCCCTCCCCCCACCTCGATTTTATAAATCTGATGATTTTTACGTGGTTTTAGTGTGTATGTGTGTGTGTTTGTTGTATGTCTTTGTGACAGGCGTTAATTGAACCTCACTTGGAATTGCCTTTAAAAACTTGCTTATGTGATTTGTTGGGCGTTGCCGGTCGACGCGTGCCGGAAGGACCCTCAAGGGCCGAAGTTTTTCCTTTTTTTTCTTTTTCTTTATCCGCGTGCGTTTACGCGTACGTTCTACACAATGCGTACGTATGTGCACAAATTGTTAAATCGATGTTTAGTTTAATATTAGAAAAATAAATTAAAAGTACTTTTACTCAACGTTAACTCAAAGTTGAAAAGATTGACCTCATTTTTAAAAAACAGGATCGGCAAATTTTTTTTTATTCTTTCGGCTAAATATTTTTTTATTTAATTATTATTATTATTAAAAATAATATTAAAAAGTTTTGAATAATTTATTGCGTTAATTATTATTAATGTAAATTTTTTGGAACTTAACGAAAAAAAAAAAAAAACGAGATGAAGAAGAAGAGAAGAATCTATGAAGAACCTTATGACGGATGAGGAATTTGAATTATTTATCAAGATAAATTTTTTTTTTTTTTTTCATCTTTTTAATATCGAATGGGTTGAGACGTTTCGCCCATGGGCTCGTTGTAAAAAATCGGACGAAGATAAAAAAAAAAAAAAATACTACGAAGTTTAAGATGGAGTAAGAAGAAGAAGAAGGAGAAGGAGGACGGAATAAAAGAGATGAACGATCTAACCGTAAGCCTACTTACTAACGTACTAAACTGACTTATTTGACCTGTTTTAATATGGATATATTCAAGGTGGAAAAATAAAAATAAAAAAAAAAAAATTTTTTGTAGGTGGATACAAAGACTCATCATCATCATCATCGTCTTCTTTTTCTTTTCCTACATTTAGAGATAATATTTATTCGTAAAAAGTGTTGAACCTTAAATTGTTTATAACGGTAGTGATAAAAATTGATAAGGTAAACTTAAAAAAAAAAAACTCACCTTGTTGAAAATAATTAGCTTTTCTCACGTAAACGCATACCAATGCCATAAGTTGTAGTTGCGACAATCTTTGTCTCGTCGAAGGCGGAAGTGGTAAAAGATCTCGTAAATTTGATATTTCTGCATTTATGAGATCTCTTCTCAATTTGCTAGCACCTTTGGTCGATTTGCTAGAATCGAACCTGGAGAAAACAAAAAACAAAAAATTAGGGAATCGTGTGTGAGTGCAAATTCATATATCCAAGGATGAAAAGATGACAACGCATTGAGCGATTCCCAATTCAATCATTTAAAAAAAAAAAAAAAAAAATCCATCTCGGGGGCTTTACTAGCGTGACACAAACACAAACAATGACCGTTTTAAAATTTTATTATACTTTCCCACACACACCAAAGTGGTTAATTTGAATTGCGTGTAAACTTCGGCCCCCGAGTCGATTGCTGCCCGAGCGCATAACAACAAACAACAACAACAACAAAAATCGAATTCATTTAATGACTTTTAAATATCATGTATACAGATCGGAGGAGTGGACATTCTCCGTCATTTTGTTATCGTTTTTTTTTTTTTTTTATTAATAATTTTCTCAAAGGGATTCTTTTCCGGTGGGAAAATCCCTGAGTAAATATTAGCTTTTGTTAGATTCACGATGACTAATTTTTAATTGGATAAAATAATTATTCGATATACGGAATCCAAATTACGCATTTTTACGGTTCGAAACATGGAAACATGCAACAAAGTTTGTCTTATACGAACGTTATTCAAACATTTTTTTTTCTTTTTATTCATTCAAACAAAAGTTTAATAAAACGTTTATAAAAGAAAAACTCATCAAAAATCTAATCGTTTTTAATTTTTTTTTTTCTCTCTTTTTAAATTGTTCGTTCTTATATCGACACCATAAACCACCGAACTGTAATTTACTCAAAAACATAAAAAAAAACTTACTGGAAACAAACATTAAAAAACCGGGGGAAAAAAAACCTTAAAAAAAGAAAATGTGATTAATGTTTTTTTTTTTTTTTTTTTTTTTTTTTTTTTTTTTTACAAAGATTGTCAAATGTTTAAATTGATAACCGGAGGCAAATCACCGATGACAAATGAAGTTTTATCCGGTAATTTGGGGGTCTCCGGAAACAAAACCGACAAAATTCAACCGTGAAATTAATTTTTTCCCTTTAACTTAAACAAAACAATAAAACAAAACTTTAAATAATTTAAATTTATTATTATTATTATTACCAGTGTGAAATAATGTTTTTTTAAATTTTAAATTGATAAAAAAAAAAAAAACTTAAACGTAGTGAAAAAAAAAATAGAAAACGAAGAAATAATATTCGATCTAATAAATTACATTGGATTATTATTATTATTATTATTATTATTATTATTATTATTATTATTATTATCATTAAACTAAAACCGTTAAACTTATGCTAAAATTATTACTGTTAGGTTTTTTAAAAATAATAAAAATTAAAATTTTTATTAAAAATGAATATAATCACCGTAAATTAAATTATGCCCCCCAGCATAATCCATACATCAAATTTAAATTAGTAAACAAACACTTATGTTTTTTTTTTGGGTCGGTTGCCAGAAAAAGTTTCGATCATAAATTAATTTTTAAGTTAATTTTTACGTAACGCTTTTGAATTAATTAATTAATTAATAAGTGACGAGGTGTGAAGTGACGACGACGACGTGACAAAAAGAAGGCGTGACGGAAGTGGAGGGAAGAAAGAGGAGTAGGAGGGAAAGGAAGGGAAAGGGAAGGGAAGACAGGAGATTTTTGATAAGTTAAAAACAACCACAACAACAACAACAACAATTTACCGATGATGACTAAGATGGAAAAATTATCGTTTTCAAGGTCGCTGGAGAAGAGAAAAGTTGAACTTATCCATGGATCGGTTAAAGTTTGATTGATTAAACGATTGGAAGAAAAAAAAATTTTTTTTTTTTAAATTTCAATTAACTCGATACTTAATAATAATAATAATAATGATAATGATAATGCAAAAGATAATAATAATAATAATAATAATAATAATAATAATAATAATAATAATAATAATAATAATAATAAAATTGATTATTAATCGATAATCGTGCATCGAAAATAATTTTTTTTTTTTTTAATTAATCGTTGACAAATTTTCATTTTGTTAATGAAACGATTGAAAACAAAAATTTTAACATTTCAATTTCGTCTAGACTTAATTAAAAAATCTAATCTAACAAACAACAAACTTCAACAAACGGACAACCATAAAAAATTAATTGAAACGGCGCATATAAAAAAAAATAAAACATGTAACAATTGTATTAAAACATGTCATTGTCTCTACAACTCCGATATTTAACTTATTGTTTGTTGTTGTTGCGCGGTTGTTTGTTGTATACTTATCATCGATCGATTTGAAACATTCAAATAATAATAATAATAATAAGAACAATATGAAAATGACGATTAATTTGTACTTGTAAAATTGAAACGAACAAACAAACAAACGAAGGAAAAAGGTTAAAAATAAAAACAAAACGAAAGGATTCGGGGCTTAAACAAAACATTATTAATAAATAATATTAATAATAATAATAATTATTATAATTACTATCATTTAATTAAATTCAGGAAAAAAATTTATAATTTTATCTTGTAATAAAAGTTCATAAGGTCAAATTTACCTTGAAATGACACGCGATGATTAAATGCGTGAATAATAAAAACTGTTTGTTTTCGCAACTTTTTGATTTATATTAAAATAATTTAACCCTCGTAAAAAAATATATAGTTTTTTTTGTGAATGAATGAATGATTATTTATTTATTATAGCGCGTACATTTGACTATAAATAATAATAATAATGATAATGAAAATGATGAGAATATATGTATAGGATGAGCGAGAGAGAGAGGGAAGAAAGTGAGAGGGAAAGGGAGAGAGAAAGGATTTTTTTTCTACGTTCGACAGTACACAAAAAATTTTAAAATTATTTAATAATAATAATATTAATAAAAATAATGATAATGATGATGACGATGATGATGATGATTAGACTAAGTAATACGTAAGAGAGAAAGAAAGAGAGAGAGAGAGGGAGAGAGAACAATAGAAATTGTCAGGTGCGATACTCTTTTCGGCCATTATCAGACATAATTTTTAAAACGTGGTAATGGCCCATGTAAAATGATTGTTGAATAATAATAATAATAATAATAATAAGAACGTCACGGTTCTAATGGCTGTGACTAACAAAAAAAAAAAAAAAACTTTTTATTCTTATTACGTTTTACTTTCATCAATTACGGGGTTTCATATTTGATTTTTTTTTTTTTAATATCGGAATATTCGGTCACAAACTCGTCACGCTCCTGTCGTTAATTTTTTTTTACTTATTTTATGAATGAAAAAAAAAAAAGTGATTTTGTCCATTGTTATCATAACGTGCGCGACAATTCGCGATTTTTGTGTGATGAATGAAAAATAATTTGTTAGCTAATGGGATAAACATGGTGTCGTGTTTACTGAACTTTTCTTCCTGATTTTTTTTGTGATATTATCGATAATGACGTCACGCTAATATTATCGTACTTTTTAAATTTTGTATATTTCGTTAACGATGATAATAATGATAATCGATATATATATATATATATATAATATATATATATATTATATAATTATATATATTATATATATAATAAAAAGTCAATAAAATTTTTAAAATGAACTATAAATACGTAATTTGCAAACTTAACGATAAAATAATTTTTAAAAAATGATAATAAAATTTTTATTAATAATAATAATAATAATAATATTAATAATAATAATATTAATAATAATAATATTAATATTAATAATAATAATAATAATAATTTACTATAAACAAACAATTTGTTTTTAAAAAAAAATCCGGTTTCGGTTTTTTACATCAATGATTTATGTATATCAAAAAAAATAAAAATGGCTCATTTGCTATCTATCTCTCACGGTCGGACCTATATATAAAAAAAATTACGTAATATTAATAATAATAATAATAATAATAATGATAAATAAACAACAACTAAACGACAATAATATTACGTAATAATATTTGTAATGTAACAGTTTTCTTTTTATGAAATCGTTTTTAAATGGTTTTTTCCCATAAATTTTTTTTTTTATAATATATATAAATAAAAAATAATTTTCAATTCGTGATTTATTAAAACAAGGAAATAATGATAATAATGATGATGATAATAATAATAATTTATATAAATTATAAAGGAATGACACAAAATTTCCAACAACAAAAAAAAAAAATTTTTTTTTTTTTTTTAGGGAAAAAGTAACGACGTTAAATAAAAATTCGTATTAAATGATAATAATAATGTAGAGGAAGTATCACGTGACATGTCGATGATTTAATACGTGCTAATGTTAAATAATTATTACGAATAACTGTAAAATCAGTAATAATAATAATAATAATAATAATTTTTTTGTTATATATTTAATAATAAAAAAAATTTACTCGAAATCGACGAAATATTTGTTGCGAGTAAAAAATAGGAGGGGGGAGGGAAATTAAATTGACATTTTTTTTTTTTTTTAAGTGTGACTAAGGTTGGTATTATTGACATAAAAGAGTTGTGGAATTTCAAATCAATGAAGAGGAACAAAAAAAAAAAAAATTTATTAACGTTGTTAATTCTTCCATTGATTTAAAAAATTTTTTTTTAATTTATTTTTTCTGGGAAATTTAAATTTTTACTGTAAATAAATTTACTTTTGCATCATCTACACACACACACACATTTGTAAAATCAAATAACGATTCCACGTGGTGATTTAAATGATAATAATAATAATAGTAATAATAATAATAATAATTTAATAATTCGGTATGCGGCGGTCTTACGCGTAATTACCCAACAAACAAACAAACAAAAAAGAATTCATTAGTAAAAAAACAAATGAACGGATTTGTAACCGTGACCCTAATTAACATTTTTGTTCAGTAACTGAAAAAAAAAAAAAATTTTTTTTAAATTCAAATTTAAATTTAAATTTAAAATTTGTTTTTAAATTTTTTTTAACGGTTTACATCCCTTACCCGATCTCATTTTATTATTGCCCTGTTTTTCAGAAACTCCCCGTCATTTTTTTCTGCTTCTTTTTTTTTTTAAAAAAACAATTTAAGGTTTCGGATTGTTTGTTCAGATTAAATATTTATTTTATTCATTTGTTTATGCATGGCATAAACAATTATTCGTCGCCACCATTACTGTTTTTTTTATTTACCTTATTTTGTTTGTTGTGATTTTTGTTTTTAACAATCGGTCACGAAAATTTGTCACCACCAATTTGGCACCACGTGCCAATAACAAATTTTAGGCGCGAAGGCGAAAACATTTCTGCTAAAAAATTTATTTTTTTTTTGGCGGGTTAAAAAAGGCCAATGTCACGAACGGAAGACGACGACAGGTTTTTTTTTTATTGTACAAAGCGTATAAAATGTATTCGCTGTTTGTTGTTTGTCGGTTACA